ATTATCTAATTGGCTTAGGTCAAGCCCATAAATTCTTTTTTTTTTTAAAAATTTTTAAAATTAAATTTTTATATTATAATATTATATACTTTTTTATCTAAAATATAAATAATTATTTTTAAAAATGGAAAATAAATAATATAAATTTTAATTTTAAAGTATAAGCATATATTTAAAAGTTTAAATTTAATTTAAAAAATATTTTATGTTTTACAAATAAAACAAAAAATGAGGTGCTCAGGCCTTTTTCATAGTGCCTAAAAAGGAGCCAAGCTTAAAAGTCAAGTTAAATTAAAATTGCTCATTTTTCAAGTTCAATCCTTAAAAAAAAGCCTAAATGGATAGTCAACTAAACTCGATTTGTGTTCTTAACTCTGTAAGTTATGAATATCTATCAAACATGTGAAATATTAAACATGCATCTAAAATCGAGAATAAAGGCCCAAAGGGCTAGGCTTGGAAGTCTTATTTAAATAAAAGTTTAAATTTTGAAAATTAGATCTTTTTTAAGTAACAAAGCTTGAGAGCCCGATCCTAATAAATTCAATAAAAAAAAGGCTTAGACTCGAGTGGCTCTTTAAGTCTTGTTATCTTATTATCATTTTTTAAAAATTTTCATGGAGCACACATTTGATTGGTTTAAAGAAGGGATCTTGTTGCTGAACCATAATCACTCAACTCTCTAAACCTTATAGGAGCTTGTGATTGCCTCTTGCTTTTCCTTACTCGTCTCTCCCTCATCGCCTCACGCCCTCAGCCACAGCCAGTTGACCATTCAACCTCACGCCTCTCATTCCTTATCTCTCCCTCACTAAACATCAATTGAATTACAAAAGGGAAGCAAGTTGGTTCAAGTTGGGAATTGGACTTATGGTCTTTCAAAGATTTTGGACTTTGCTTTCACACGAGGTTGTTATGTCATCCCCTTTTCAATCACTATATTTTGAATTGTTTGTGAGAGGGATCGGTTTAATAGTGAACTTCGATAGTGCTATTATCATTTTAAGTTTGTTCAATTAGTATTTTTGAGATGACGTAGATATTGATTTTAAGATTAATTGTGTGGGATCCTGGAACTTAATTCTTGATGTTGTTTTGCTTAAAATTTCAAGCTTACTTTTCAATTGATTTGCATTATATTTTTAAATGATAATAAGGAGGATTTAGATTTACATTGATGAAGATTTCAATCTTCATCTTAATTTTAAACTTTAAATTTTTATTGAATTTTATGCAAGACTTTCATTTGTTTTATTTTGAATTTAGATTTTTAAATCTTTGCTGAATTACAATGTTGGATTTTTTCCTGAAACAGGGCTTATGGGCCAGGTCCTGAGCCTATTGGTAAGAGTCGAGCTTTAAAATTAGATTAAATTTTAGATAATTGGACTTTAAAACTTAAGCTCTTAAGGGCAGATTCACCTGGATTCCTATATCTACATGCATTAATGTGTTTGGATTTTAAATGAAAAAATTGATTATGAAAAAAATAATTAATTGAATGCGATGGTATTTGAATAACATTTTCCAAAATCAATTTATCAAAAAAGGGGAAAATTAGCTTCTACAAATTGTGCTTTCAGAGATCAAATGGAATTTCAAAAAATTATAAATGGTTGGATAACTTTTTCCAAAACCATGATTTTGAACCCTATACTTGATTTTAGAAGGATATTCAAATAGGCTTAGCAAAAAAAATATCATTTTCAACAACACATTAGTTATTAAAAAAAAACAAAGAAAGAAAGAAACATAACACATCTACTCTTTCAATCTTTTGCTAGTGAGATTAAAATCACTTTCTTATTATCCAAGTACACTTAGTTAATTAATTGAGAGAGTTGAATTAATTTATCATGAAATCTCGAATCTAAATACTAGAACATACAATCACATTAAATGAATATGTTAAAAGTATTCATATGACATCCATGAGACTGCAGTTAACAGCTTCGTACAATAAGATTCGAAAGTTTGGATGAGAAGTGATAATACCTTGATATTTCCCAAACTATCGACAGATGGATCAAAAAAAGAAAAAAAGAAACCCCATACACACGCACGCACGCACAAAACTTGAAAAATTAAATGGGGCCTAATATGAACTTGACCATCAAACTAGAATGACATGTATATATCTAAATTTTAAATACTACTTCCTCTATTTTTATTTATAAAATAATTATTTTTTTATTTTTTTATATAAACAAAATCACATATTTCAATAAGCACTGATTACACATTTTTAAATTATCTCTCATAATTTACATTAACGATAAATAATTAACGGATACTTATATTGATTAACATAGGGCATTTTAGTCTAATTTTTTTTATTTTTAGACATAATTATTATGTTAATCAACTTTTTCAAACTGTGTGTTATAGTTTTTTTCTCTTATATATAGAAACAGAAGGAATATTACTTATCATCCTCTGGGAGGGAAACTTGCCCCTGCCAATAATTGCACTATGCACATAGAAGTAGTCATCTTTCAATACAATGTCCTCTTCTCATAAAGGGTAGTTACAAATTTGAAGCCAAATGGATCTCCTTATAAATTAAGATGGGATTAGACTTGACATTGACGGATTAATCAACATTAACGGGACAATAACATGTGGTGATATCATTCAAGATAACCAAGGATAATGAATTATGAGATTTTCTGGATGTCTTGATTACCATTTTTGCACTACTGTTGATAGAGGCGAGCATTAGTCTTTTCAGTGCCAAAATGTGCAAAATCGACTAACCAAACAATACTAAAAATATGAACCAAATTGAATTAAAATTTGATAATTCAGTTCAGTCGATTAATTCGATCTAGGCTTCATGTTGGGCTACTTAAACTTGGGCCAATTTTGTTATTTTTTTTTCTACTAAAATAGACAAGATTTATATATAAAATTAGGCTTGTAAAATGATAGTAACCCATTTTAATTAGGGGTTAAGGTTTCAACTTATTAGATTATATATTAATAAAATAAAACAAAGTAATTAATAAGCTAAATATAATTTATAAATAATAATATATATATATATATATAATGATTCAATTAGTTCAATCTATTCAATTTTAAATATTACTAATTGAATTGAAGAATCAAATAGATTGAATCAAATAATAAAAATTTGATTCGATTTTTAATTTTAATTTTATTTTATTTACCCCTAGCCGCTAAATTACTACATATCTTCTCAGCCTTTGTTGAAATGTCAAAATCAACAAAGTCAACATTTAGTTTAATTTTATGAAAGTTTTTTCGCCCATTCAATGCAAAACTCCATCAAGAACCATCCACTTCTCCAAACCATCAAGAAAATCAAGAATATTATAATGAGAGATTATATGATTACTTTCAATTACGTGATTAGAAAAGTAAACAGACATATCAATATATACTTGCATGCCAAGCCTTCAAAGAAAATTTAGATATAATGATATTTAATAATCCATATCTCTAGGTACGGAAGCCTCTTGACTTGTGACATGACATGATCTTGCTCATTTGCAAGGTTTTTGATCACCTTATATTAAAAAAAAAAAAAATACAATACCCTCTTTGGGACTGGAAATCGGAAATTAACTTGGTGCGTCCATGCACAGTCGGAACCCTTTTTCTTTATTTCGGACCAATAATGTTCACAAGTAGAACGTAAAGAATAAAATGCAACTTTTATATCTAACTCTCTAAGATTATATCCACTCATCACAACATGACAGCCTTCACCAACACTTGCACCCGGTTTTATACCGCATTCACTCTTCGTCACTTGCTTCCTTAACAACTTCTGATTGACATCCACTTGTTTTTTAGTTAATCTACATACTTCTTTACAACTTGCTTCTTCTTCAACTCTTTAGACCCATAGCATCGCATTATATCGTTGCTCGCCTGAGACTAGTCCATCTCTTGTTCTGAAACTTTTTTTGTAAAGCGATGAGGTTTTATGTCCTCGTCTCCTTTGTTTGTCAAGACGAATGCATTCCTTCCTAATTCCTAACACCTTGAAACCCTTGTGATATGTAGCTAGTGAACAACAGGGCCTTGGAAAGGTACAGGTTCGGTGTAGGCTTGTCGAGTAATGTCAACCCTTCTCGCCCTCATCTGGACCATCAATGCTTTGATTTTGATTAGTCTAACAAGTAGTTGACCAGGTATTTCAGGTGTTATGGAGGTGGCCCCAAATTGACGCGTGGCCATAGGATTTATGGCTTGTGGGAGCATTATTCAGATGGCCAATCCAACTAAAAGGTTGGATGAAGAAATCAACTTTGCTGTTGGATTGACATAAATCATCATCATTATGAGGATCAGTCTGCTTCCTGAACAAGACCTTTACAGAGCATGATGTGAAGGGACGATCACCACCAACGATGACCTTGAGACCACAGGGCAAGTCCTTCTTTAATATTAGGAAACATCAATTATTGCCTGTTTGGATAATACATCTATCATAACCGGCATAGCATTTGCACTACCACGTGCATACGTAGCATACAAATGCAGCATTTTGACAAGTTCTTGGTGACAAGATTTAATTCTCTCTCCATATTCTGAATACATGTATGAAAGAAACAAAGTTGGTGTTAAGTGAGCATATTGGAAATCGTATAATCAGGGAAATAAAGAAGTAAATTGTGCGTATGAGTATATTTAACATGGTGGATATGCAAATTTCCCTGGTAGTTGCTTTGAAAATTCTGGAGTAGCCATGCACGCAGGCTATTCTCATGTAATAACGCTTAATGCAAATAAAATGCTATAACGCAAACATCCGAGAACGAATTCGGTTTCCACTTCCCACGTGCAACCAATCGCTGTTAGATGCCAATCGACGCGCAATTATCTCATCCTCTCTCTGAAGCCCACACCACACGCAACTGACAAGTGACAAAATCTTCAAGCTTCTCCATGTTGTCCTTCCCCTGTCTTCTATATAGAGGACCCTGTTTTGGTAATTTTCCATCTGATTTGTTTGTTACCTTCGTTGCAAGAATTAGGAAATTAATTTGAGCTTCGGGTTGTGTCCTTGATATTCCGGAATGATTTTGTTCCCTTCGGCGTTTTTCAAGTTCTTATAGGAAAAAGTTTGTGAAGGAGTATTAAGTGCTCACTCTTCCCTCTCTCCTGAAGAAAATATACAAGACGTCAACAAGAAAAAATGATTCCCCAGGGGCTTGAAGCTAACGGACACAATCTATGAGTTACCTCTTCGCTTCGTCACCAACTGTAGTAGAATAGAGAGCTTACTATAGTGAACAAGAATTCTGTCTCTGCCTTGGTGGATCGTAATCAGGAGATAACTGCACCTGCTACTTGCGACATGTCACCGAAGAAGAAGGAGAAGCTTCTTTCAACTGCCATGAAGAGAACTAGTGAATGGTATGCTTCTGAATCTTGGCATGCGACTAAGTATTCTGTGGTGTGTCTCCTGTCTATGCTTACAACTTGCTTCAGCAATGTGCATCTGCTGCTATCTCCTAGATATAAGGAAACTTACTGAAACCCTCGTTTTAAACTTCTTGTAGGGTTTTCTCTCACGAGATTCCAAGTGATATTACAGTTCAAGTAGCAGAAACTTCCTTTTCATTGCATAAGGTAGTAACTCTTTTATCTACTCATGTCGAATTCATTACTGTGAGAGTCATCAACGGCAAAGTGAATCATCCATCTTCCCCACCAATTGTTTGAATATTTGCCCGTAAATAGAACTTAACCAAAAGGCAAGTATAATAATAGTTTTTCCCTCATATTTCCTGTTGTGTAAATTGCAGTTTCCATTAGCCTCTAAGTGTGGATACATTAGGACGCTCATCTCAGAATCTAGCGGTACTGATGTTTCCATCATTAAACTCCATGATGTCCCTGGTGGGGCAGAAGCGTTTGAACTGGCAGCGAAATTCTGTTACGGGATAAATTTTGAGATGAGCATAGCGAACATAGCTACTCTTCGCTGTGTAGCAGAGTATCTTGAGATGACAGAGGATTACTCTGTTAGAAACCTCGTGGGAAGAACCGATGCTTATTTGAAAGAAGTGGCACTTAAGAGTCTTCCGGGGGCAGTATCTGTCTTACATAATTCAGAGAACCTTTTTCCTATAGCAGAGAGAACAAAACTGGTGAGCCGATGCATAGATGTCATTGCATATATAGCATGCAAGGAAAGCCAATTCTGTACTTCTATAGATGAGAGTGGCAGAGAGGGTATAACATCTTCCATGGCGTCTCACCAGAGGGACGTAGTTGATTGGTGGGCTGAGGATCTAACGATTCTTAGAATAGACATTTTCCAGCGAGTACTCATTGCGATGATGGCCAGAGGGTTTAAACAGTCTGCTCTTGGTCCTATTCTGATGCTGTATGCGCAGAAATCTCTACGAGGTTCGGTGAGAGCCCTCACTAAAAGGATCAGAATGTTTTGAATTATTTAGTTTCATGGATTGAATACTGAACTCTCTTTTTTTTCATCCTCTCTTTCTCTCTTGCAGGAATTAATGGTAAAGGGAAGGAAGAAGATTGAGGCTGGAGAAGAGCACGAGAAGAGGGTTATTTTAGAGACAATAGTGAGTCTTTTGCCAAAGGAGATGAATGCAATTTCAGTGAGCTTTCTTTCTATGCTGCTTCGGGCAGCAATATATCTCGAAACAACGGTTACTTGCAGGCTTGATTTGGAAAGGAGGATGGCGATGAAGTTAGGGCAGGCTGCTTTGGATGATCTTCTTATTCCTACTTATTCACTCACAGGAGATACATTGTTTGATGTGGATACAGTGCAGAGAATCTTGATGAATTACCATGAATATGATACGGGAATAAACTTGGACTCCGGTGTAGATAGTGAATACTTTTCTACTCCGTATTCAGACGTGGATCGCGTGGGAAAGCTAATAGAGAGCTATCTAGCAGAAATAGCCACTGATCGTAATTTACCAGTTACAAAATTCGTGAGCCTTGCTGAACTTATCCCGGAACAATCAAGGTCAGTGGAAGATGGGATCTATAGGGCCACAGACATCTATCTCAAGGTGCTGTCAATTATCACGATCGATTTTTTATGTTATCGTGTCATACTTGGCTTAAAATATACTTTTTAACGCGTAAGAGGTAGACTCCTTCTTAACAACTTAATGCATCTATAATTTTATTGTCAGAGAAGTAGCCTGAATTGATAAGGAAAAGTACTATTTATCTAGTCAACCCCATTTGGTTACCATGAATGTTATTTATAACAAACTTACCTCGCTGCTAATTTCTGAACATTCAGAATCAGAGTTGGATATCAAGATTCCTGCCCCACAGCACATTGTTTCAACTTTTTGGAATGCCTTTATGAAGATGTTATTCTAGTTTATTGCCACATATTACAGTATTACTGATAATAAATTCAAGGATCTACTTGTAAATTGATTATGGTAAATAAAATTCTAAACATGATTGAATCAATTATTACTTCTGATGAAGTTGGAATTTATTTACTTTGCTCAGGCTCATCCTGCTCTAAGTGATACGGAAAGGAAGAAAGTTTGCAGCGTCATGGACTGTCAGAAGCTGTCTCGGGAGGCTTGCTCCCATGCTGCTCAAAATGATCGTCTTCCTGTTCAGACTATGGTTCAAGTTCTTTACTATGAACAGCAACGTCTTCGCGATGCCATGGAAGGCTCTCCTTCTGCACCTTCCAAGTTCAATCTATACTCTGCTGATTCGGATCACTTTTCAAATGACCTCTCCTACTTACAAAAAGAAAATAAGGAGCTAAAAACAGAACTAGTGAAATTGAACATGAAACTAAGAGAGATTAATAAATCCACGTCAACGACTGCAGTTAGCAGCCCTGCTTCAAATGCTTCACCTTCTGCTGATAAGCTTTCTATGCCTCGAAAGTCCCTCTTAAATTCTGTGTCTAAAAAACTGCTTGCAAGGCTTTCTCCTTTTCTGCGAGCCAAAGATCATACAAAACCCAGTAAAAATCGACGCCATTCTATATCCTAAGACCATTGAAGAAATTCTCAAGTGCACTAGAGTGCGAGAAGCCAAATGCAGTTCATGAAAGTCTGTGTGTGAGTGAATTTTGCCACTGTAACACCCATTTTATTGAGCTTTTATTAGCACTTCGCCTTACGCTGTGTAATAAGTGTGCCGCAGAAATTTTACTCTGTTTGTGTGATGCTCCTATAGATTATATCACCATGGTTTTTTTCCTTTCATTCAGAACCAAATTGTGAAGGCTACCAGGCTAGTGCTAATGAAGTTGAATTTCTGGGTGAGTACTTAAATTGCAGTCCTGCTGTTTATTGATAATAACACGCCAATACAAGAATGATTCTCTGATAGTCAACAGGGGAAGTGATAGGAGGAATCATTATTACAGTTTTCCATGATGGAGGAAATATGATTGGAACCCCTCAAATTTCCTTATTAAGTTCACAAATATTTGACCTGTTTGGTTGCATTGAATAAATTGATTTTTCATTTTATTGCATTCTATGTATCAGATGATCGGTGACATGTGGGTCAAGATGAGTATTATAACAAGCCTAGATCTTCCAAAACATAAAATGGACCACAAGTTCAATGAATGCAAATATTTGATGACAAGTGGAATAGAAACTTAAATTATTGAGTCCTTTCGGATAAAAAGCTTTTGAGAAAGGTTAAAAAAATAGTGCGAGTAACAGCTTAGCAGTGCCCGTGATGAAGTGATCAGAATTCAGAAAAGCAAAGAGATCAAGGTCTGGTTTCTAGTCATGAATGTCCTAAAAGTATTGAAAATGTTGCAAGCAATACACATTTTGGGACAGACTTTTGCTAAACTTTGTCAAAAGCCTGTCGTGTATTTGCAAGGGAATCTACCGTACGTCTGATGCAGGCAGGAATTACGTCTCCGACTTCTTGTTGGCCAGTAAGTTCGTGAATCATGGGAGGGAACTAAATTAGACTACAGAAGAGAAAAAGAATCCGCTACCCACGTAAAGTATGTGATCAGGAAGTGAAAGGAGAACGTTTATCAGATGTACCGTAATGTCCCTTGTCTGAATTTTATTCCACAGTGACAACTTGCTTCTGGATTGATTTGTTGATTTATTATCTAATACCTAGAACAGAAATGGGTTCCTTTGACTTTCACACACGGAAAAAAGAAAAAGAAAAAGAAAAATAAAGGAAAAGCTTCCTCCGAAAGGCTGAACTGCAAAGATTGAAGGTATTGAAACGACTTAAGAAATAGGAGATTGTCTTTGATAGAGAGGGAAAAACTCTTTCGAGGGATATAATAAACTCGTCGACATGGCTGCCCACCATAATCAATAAAAGGATCGCTTTCATGACTTTAGTGGCAACAATTATGATCTGAAGTGTGATTAAAAGCTCTCGAGAAAAGAAAAGTCAGTTGCATGTGAGTTAAAACCGTAATGGGTTGGAGCAAAAGGAAACTAGTAATCATTAAACAAGACTTCATCACACCCCCACCACACTAGATAACTAGGCAGAACATTCCACAAAAACCATTCACAAAGTTAGTCTCAAACAGCAATTTAAAAAAAAAATATTATATATATATATCATATTAATTGACTATAGATAATTTTTTTAAACTCTCTCAAGTCATGTTCAAGCTCAACACTTGAAAAAGCCAAGGTGGCTGTTTTAATCTGTCTTGGCTTGACTGTTCTTCAACATCAAAACTGTTTCTAATTCCTCTTTGACAGATTGAGTTTGAATCCGGCACCTGGACGAGGCCTAATATGCCTCCACTTAATTCTTCTCTTGTTGCATCACTGCAACTGCAATGATGGGTCCCCGAACTTGTCTTGTTTATATGGCTGGATCCCGTAGAAGAGGAAGACAAGCTATGTCCAGAATCAGAAGTTCGTGGTGTCTCGAGTTTCTTCATGCGGTTGTAAATTGAAGGGCCTAGTGTCAGTTCAATCTCAGTCTCATCTACGATCTCTAGCACCCGATCGTCGTCTGATTCTGCAATGTGCTCTTCCGCAGGCTGTTCGAGATCAAAGTTCAGTTGAGGTTTGTTCGGTGTACCTTTATTTTGATCAACATTTTGAGCTAGACCAACAGAAGTCTTGAAGCTCCATCCTCGTTGGCTTGGTTCGTTGCCTCTGCTCTTGTCCATATCTTTCATCAACGTCTTCTGGACCCGATACAAGCGATGTAGTTCATATAACTGAAAATTTATTGAGGGTACTCAGGTTCTATTGATGCTTCTTGTGTGAATAATAATCCAAAGGAATACCTAGAGAAGTACGTACCTGCTCTTTGAAAGTTTCTTCATGTTTTAGAATGGCAATCCTCATGTACTCTTTATCGTATGGCATAGTAAGCTTCTCCATCGGTGCCGTACTTACCTTCTGCTTTCACGAATGATGGGCAGATTTACTCTTCTTCCTCGGAAATTTGTGGTCAGACAAGAATCTTCACTGCATATGGCTTCTAATTCTAATACTCCGCCTTTTTCATCACTATTACTCTGAAATGAGGGAAAAAAACGAGTTGGAATGTACTTGATAGATGAAAAGCTGTTTAGGGAGGAAAGAGGGTAGTGCGAGAAACCTACTGCTGTCATGCCCTTGAAAGACTAGCACAAAATGATGATATCAACTAACTTCAAGTATAATTTGTCTGTTCCCTTGCTTAATCATATCCCCTTCCGAGATTTTGGACCACAACTAAATGAATTCCGAAGGAAAATATCTTCCGGCACTTTTATGTGCTAAATTTTCCTACCGTTAACTATGGCTTCTCATAAATAGACAATTTAACGTCATTATTCATGCTATCAAATTTATCTTTTCATTTGTATACTTCTGGATAGTCGATACATATTCTTGTGCTGAAGGCAATAAATACTTTCTCTTTCTACGTACCTACCAGAATAAAAAGCCGCCTGAACAGTATCATCGTGGCCGGCCAAATATGGCAATTAAACTAGTAAATTGAGATTTCGAATCCTACACCCTTTCAACCTTATTCATAGTCTCTGCTATCTACTGTTAATTCCTTCTGGTAGGAAAAAAAAAAAAGTTAATTCCTCTTTTTTTTTTCTTCACACTCTGTCTTGCTATTTTTAGACAATTAGATTAAATCACTGGCAATGCCAAAACCAAAAGTTTTTAGAATACAACAGGTTTCTCAGGATATAACTAGAATAATGCCAAGGCAAACCGTATTCCTCTCATAAACTACCGTCACGCTATCAATTTCAAACATCAATATATCGTCTTCAGTGATAGGAATCTATGCAAGTTGCAATCTGGACTTTTGAATCGTATGCCCACACAAGTTATGCAAATGCCAAATTGCGAAAATCAACCGTGTGCGTAAGATGACAGCAATTTTGTATGCAAGAGGGAAGGAGCAGCCGAGCAGGGTGCCAGTTTGAAAAAGAACTTGTAAAATTCAAGAATAATACCAAACAGAAATACTAGTATCGACATGAATAGGAATAAAATCATGAAAGCCTTTCCCAAACCAAACCTTAAACTCTAAATATGCAAGTCTACCGTAATTCAATACAAAAAGTTTAAGAGCCAAGAAATAAAACTGAGTCACTAACCTGTCCAGGTTCAAGGAGCAGAGGATACCGCAATTTCTGTTCTGAACTAGAAGACAACGAATATTAAAAGGAGCTTCTCCAAGGAAAGGCAACAAGTTCCTCCTCTCACCTCATCAGCTCAGATTCATAGAAAACTTTTAGTTGAAACAGACTACTGCTCTCACATTCCCCATCAGGCTCGTCAGTATATGGTGCTGGAGAATACATGCATGCATGCATGTATACATACATACATATATATATATATATGACCGAAGAACTTAAAATTCTCTATTAAAGACACTCACGGAAACCAAGCTACTGCATGAGGTTTGAGTTTGAGGCATGCCAAATAAATCCCAGTGCCTTGACCAATGCTAATCAAGTTTTGTGGAAGGGATGCCCCAGACAGGTCCAGCAATGCATATATTATAGTAAATAAAACTCTGACAGGCCATAGCAAGTACAGACTTTATTCTATCTACTATTATCACGCATTTATATATATTTTATTATTATATTAGCAATCAAGATATAATAAATAAACCGTGATAGCAAATACACCTATGACTGCTCAAGACAAAAGAATCAAAGAAACAGCTTAGCCTGGTGAGGTGAATCACATGCACCTAGAAGTTCTGTCACAAAATAGTTGTCTCAATTACAAATCGCACATCATATTATATTACAATATTATTGAAGCACGCTGATTTGAAGGAGCCCAAGGTGGCATCTCCTCTGCTCTCGACAGACAGATCATGACCGTACGATAAGTGAGTTCCTTTGTTAACTGGCCACAAGGTCTCGAATCTAACTCTAAAAGTTTTCAGTTTTCAACAGGAACGGGACAAAACAAATGGGGTTATTTTATCATTTTCTATCACATTGATAGAGCAAGAGAGAATTAAGGATGTTTTGTACCTATAGAGGATAGGTGCAAATTGTTGTTTTATGGGTTTTAGTATCACTCGCAAGAAGACCCAGAGCAATAATTTTGGCCGTGAACAGGCCATGTGTGATAAAATCATAAAATTATGTGAATATCAATCCGAAGGACAATGGGGAATATTGGACCACTGAAAATGAACAGTGTCCTTCACACACACATAATTACAAGCAGTTTGTGTGCAAAAGCATAATTCCCCCAACTTTCGCTCACATCGACGGTCAAACCAAGGCCATCTGGATTAATATGCATTTGGAAACCTGAAATGAGATGTTAGATTATGACATTAACGTTAATAACTACATTAAAAGTACTGTTGTATGGGTAATTAAGTAAGACGCAAACTACAGGATTACACATCAAATCCATCTACTCCCAACCTTATCATGATGACCGAAGGTTTTGCCAGGACGAGCTTACCGGGAAGGGGGGGAGGGACAGAGAGATAGGGACATTGAAGCACGCGTTGCCGGGGCTGGAAGGTGCATTCGTATGGGTAGGTGGGTCCTTTGAATTTGCTGAAAAGGCTGATCCACGACTTGCGTTGTTATTGGCCCACTCGAATTGGATATTCCAATGAGTAATCTGGGCAAAATGTATTAAATAATGGAGAACCGATGCTGGGGAAGTGATAGTGCTGAAGCTTGCTTTCTTTTCTTTTTTTAGTTTTCTTTTTGGATTTTTATCCAGATGCATGACATGTGAATTCTGTAAATCTCCATTGTGTTTGTCCCCCCTACCACTGAAATTTTATACTTTGCTCTCTTCTGGATCTAAGTTTTCTTTTTTTCTGGTAATCTTTGGATCTAATTTTTCTGTTCAATGATAATGTCACTCAAAGGTTAATTTAAAGAAACACAAATGGCTTATGTTTGGATGCAATTTAACTTTGGAATATCAAATTACCGCGTTTAGATTCAAAAGAGACCTAGGATTTAGGTCATATAACATGGCAGCGTCAAACTCCTAGCGACTTATGATGATTTCTCTTCCTATAGTTTTATACAGGAAGAATTTTAACAAAGAACTCTTAATTATACTTAATTATATTTAAAAATTTTTAAATTTTTAAAATTTCACTACAATTTAAAAGTATTGATTTAATATTAATTTTTTTAAAAAAATGATAAAATTATCTTTTATTTAAATCAACATTAGTACTACCCTACTTCATTTGTTAACTACCCTACTTTACTTATTCATTTACTTATTAAATATTATTAATTATCTTATTTCAATTGTTTATTTTTCTGAAATAAAATTAAGTAAAAATTTGATAATAAATAAGTGAAGTAAAGCATTAAACTAGTGAAATAAAATTATTAATAATAGTCTGTAAATAAATGAATAATATACAGTATAAGAATCAATAAGTTGTTATGATTTAAATACCTAAAATAAAAATAAGTTAGGTAAGACAATTAACAATATTCTATAAGTAGATGAATAAATAAAGTAGAGGAATTAACAAGTAAAATAAAAAAGTTTTAATATTAATTTAAAGGAGGGACAATTTTATTATTTCTTTCAAAAATTTAATATTAAATTAATATCCTTAAACTATAATGAAATTTCAAAAATTTAAGGATTTTGAGTGTAAATAAGTTTGGTCAGGAATCCTTTATTGAAATTCTCTTTTTATATGTAAGATAAGATCTGTTGGTAAATTAGGCAAATTTTAAAGAGATTTTTTCAGTATGAAATCGAAGTGTATGTGCTTTAATTTGCATGTGACATTGAGATAATAAAAAGTTTTTTTTAAAAAAATAGTGAGAAATCTATCTATCCATCCATGATATAAAATACAAGACGTGATAAGCTTTGATCCATAAATACACCAGTTAATTATCATATATACAATGAAAAACTAACTTTTCTCTGCAAATTATTGCAACATAAATCCTGAAAGTTTATTTAAGATAAAGGGGATGGTTTATCGACGGCCTTCTGATCAATGACTGCAAAAGGTAAAAAAAAAAAAAAAAGATTTCCACCATAGATGTTTGTAAACTATACATTAATTGGGCGAGTAAAGCAAAGCATGATATGATATTCTAAAACTAGTTAATTAAGTATTGAATTGAACCATAGAATGGTAAAACATGACGCAGTAGCGTGCAATTTGGGTTGGATACATGCACCGGAACCGAGGTTCTTACATGATTATAACGGAATTGATTTTTAAAGCAACAACAAAGGTCGCGTGACAATAAATCTAAATCATCTATATCAATCATATATAGATATTTAGAACAATAATGATGATGATAAATGCAAGAAACCTTTAAAAAAAAAAAAAGAGTAAGTGGGATCACTCGCGGCCGGTTCTGAACTCTCTCTGTGTGGGCACATGCTACTTTTGAGATCGCGGATTATTATATGCATCGTATAGGCTCCACCATATGGGTGGTGGTTAGGACTTCCCTTGACACACAAACGGGTCACACACGTAAAATGGATATGCTCCCCACACGCCTGTGTGTGTGTGTATGTATTTGTGCATATGTTTCATTATAATGAAAATTCGATTCTTGTAATTATAGTGATCTTTTTGATAAAATGATGAAATTGAAGTTATCCAAGAAAAATTCAAGTTATATGGCTCAAGGTTATATATGTCAGGAAGATATTAAGTGCAGATGCCAAAAGTAATATTTCTAATTTGAAGAAGGATGAAATTAGAAATGTCAAATAATTGAATATCATATTTGTTAGATACAATAATCGGTTTAGCTCTAAATTATTCTTGAATGAGGTTCTCTCACCGTAATATTAAATTATATATATCTATATATATTCATTTAGAAAATATCACACATAAATATTGCGACAGAGTATTTCAAAAGCATTTTTTCTGTTTATGCTAAATGCAGACTAGGCATTAAACCGAATATATTGATGTCCATTTAAAAAAATAAAAGCATCAACCATTTGGTCACAATCAAATCAACAAAAGAGATTATTCACGAAGAAAGGCGTGGAGAAAGAAAATATTGAGAGGAAGTCTTGAGATTTGGAGCTTTAGCATCTATAACTTTTTATTCGGTTGAATTAATGGGGGAACAAAAGTTAGGATTTTGGATATTGAACTAGAGATTGAGTCATTTAGAAGTAATACACTCTTTCTGAAGATTATACCCATTGGTCCTTAAAAGTTTAAAAAGGATTTCAAAACGTGATAAAACATGTACAATTTATTAAAAAAATACCCTTGACTCTTTTTAAGTATATTCTTCGTACTTCCCCCAGCTTGGAAAAATTAAACCTGGTTCTAACACGGAAGATACATACTGGGAAAAAAACAAAAAAAAAAAAAATGATGAAACCATGCATCCCTGAATGAGCACCTGAGGTTTGTTCTACGAAACGCCCTGAAAATTTTGACGTTTCCCATCACCGTAACAGGGCTAACTTTGATCTTCCTGTTTCTCTAGAAGGGTATAGAACAGAAGCGAGAAGCGCAGTAAATGTGTAAGTTCTTAATGGCCTTTAAGAGTTGAAATTTCAACGGACCCAACAAACTGCAAGCAAGTCATCTCACTGGGTCCAAACCCCGAAAGAATGAATGCAATGTAAAAGGGATGGTCCCATATATGCGAGAGAAATGCATAGTTTATATATTTAGTGGACGCCCCACCAGCATCGTACGTGATCATTATCAAGCGAACCTAAGAGAGAAGGAGCGGGAGGACATAGTGTGGTAATAGCATCGCCATCAATCAGAACGGGGAAAAATGGTACATTTCTTTGGACATATGCACTTTTAACGGGGATTTGTGCCTTTTCCGAAGCTCCACATGCATCAAGTTAATGTGCGTTTAATGCTCATCCTTCGTTTCATTGGTTGGTCATTTCCCATTATCACTCTCATAGCAAGTTATCGTTCAGATTCCTGGATTTAAGTTTATCTTTGTTGCAGTATGCAACAGTGTGTTGGAACTAAGAAAGAGAGAGAGAGAGTGATCGGAGTTAACAGGATATAGTGTTCCCACCATGCTATAATCTAATCGTCAGGGACAAACACATTTGATTGACGTTACCGACACGAGAGAGAGAGAGAGAGAGAGAGAGAGAGAGAGTAGGGTCTTGTATGGAACAAGAGTACCTGTGTTCCTTGCCATTATTTGACTACTGAACAGGGTCCTGGGCCTCAACGGGTCTATTCTCGAAATCAATGTCTTTTTCGTTTTCTTTTCCAGTTTTCTGTAAGAAAATGGGAGACGAAGTTAAATGAATCTGGGACCAATCAAATTCATTTTATAGATACAGTTGTTTGATATTCAGTGTTATGAATCAAATTTGAACATGAGCACAACAAGAACTTTGAACATGACTCTTTGTAATCTTCGAGTTTCGAGCTAATCTTGTATAAAGAAAACTGAAGTGCTTCAACTCAACTACGCTGCTCATCCAAGTCAAGTCTCTCTGCCGCCGGTTCGGCCGAAGAAAACTATCCCGTTTTTCTATGAAATAAACACGCATGTTGGAGCTAGGGGTGGAAAATGAACTGGTTTGAACTATGTCGTGGGAAACTTCAGTAGACCAAGTGCGTGGGCCTTTTTTGTTTTTTGTTTTTATCGTCTTGGAAACTGTCACCGTGTAGTTTGTCTGCCAAAAGGAAATGTCCGGTAGGTTGTGAGTTGTGATGGTTTTCTTTTTTTTCTTTTCAATTGAGTTATGATGGTCTTGTTTGTGAACTATCTAGTTGTTGTTGGAAGCCCATCATGTGTTGAAGCGTTCATGGAAAGTGTGGGCTTTGAGTTTTCGGAAGTGGAAACGGATTCGTTGGGCCTAATAGTCAAGGCCCAAATAAGAATATATGAGGCCTGAGGGCATGGGCATAATATCCTTTGTTTGCTTCCCATCCATAGTCCCTGACCTTCCTCCTTCCTCCGTGTCTTGTCTCCGCTCTCCAGATTCCAGCTATGAATCATGTTGGAAAGTTATTGTGGATTACGTTGGTTAAACTTAAACACTCGAGTTTAAATATGTCTACACACAAAAAGGGCACAACCAGTTGTAGATGAGCTAATCAAAATAGGTTTCCTGTCAAAATGTTGATTGAGGACTGTAAGAAAAGATGGGAGGCAGAGAACTCAAAATGAGGTATCACGGGCCTGCTTCGGTGTTCACGTGCCTTAACGCTGGCTTTGCACCTGGCATTTTTTACCACTGTGTAGTGAACCCCATCGAACGGACACCTCCATTTTCATAATCCACACAATCAAATAACATGTTTTTATTCTTTTCTATATGAATGATATTAAAGGTTGTAATATAGTGGCCTTCGTCAACCTATTAGACGACAGTAAGTATCAGATGCCCATTACTATAGCTGGCAACATCAGTTAATTATATATATCATTATCAAATAATGGTAAATTGCCGGAACCAAACAAGGGACACTGAAATGATAAGACTACGAATCTTGTCTTCTTTCACAAGTCATTGAACCTTAATTAAATGATCCTCGTCTGGTTCCCTTCTTTTTTCCCCCATTTTTTTGGTCTGGTTCCCTTCTATTCTTAATGAGCGAAAAGTCCAAAAGCCGTTTTCAGCCCTTTTTAATCCAAGGAAGTTCCTATCTAGCTCAATTATTTAATTTGTTAATTTAATAAACTAATGATGGATTCAACAATACTATACTCCATCAGGTCGTTATTATAAAGCCCTTTTTCAATTATTTTACTAAAATCAATTAATGACAATTAACTCATTAAATAAGTTTTTGAATAAATTTTTTTTAACTTTAACTTTATTAAAAATAAAGAAAGAGATGCATGGTAATATGATGAGTTATAGAATTAAATTTACAATAAAGATAAAATTGAAAAATAATAAGTGTCTTATAAAGACAGAAATTTTTTTAAAAAAAGTTTCATATAATAAAAGCAGGAGAGAGTAGTTGTAACTTTCTATGGAAAAACTAAAATCAGAATGAGATGAGTTGATAATTTTAATTACTTAAGAGAGGGGTCAATGCCAATTTTTCTTTATATTTTATTGACCTCCATAATCTATATTCCGTTTTCCCAGCAAGTCAATCGTCCTTGACGATAATGGGCCATCTACTTATCGTAAAAAAGTACCGAGGAACTACAAAGAAGTACTTGTTGTTTCCTCGGGCAATTATTTGTCTTTGGAGATGCCCTTCGGCTGGCAGTTCATGCACGTTTTACCTAGAATGACAACACTTCAACACGCACTAATGGTCATATAATCAAAAGTCAAGGTTAATCCTGCTTATGAACTCATCACATATACGTACAATTTTAATTTAAGTAGTCTAATTATTTTAATTAATTTATAAATACTACATATATAACTTTAAAAACTCTTTTTCTTCTGAGGGCACGAGGTCGATATAATTATTTTACAAATGAAGTTGCTTATAACAGAACCATGTGACCCTTTGTGTGTAGTTAAAAAAAATGGGACTTAATTTAATCAAACTACGTGAACGTGACATACTGACATGTTTGCTCATGTATTAATTAATTAATTAATTAGATAAACTCAATAATCAGAGAATATGCCACGAGACGTCCTCTCGTGAAGATCTGGATGGAATCTAAATCACGTTCAAAACCGAAACGCTTGGGAGTTGTTGATGCAAATTGCAAACAAACAAATGAATGCTAGTTACTTTTTTCATTGTGACATTATTAATCGATACGATTGAAGCTTTCCATACAGTAGACGTTGCCAGATTTAATAACTTGACGATATATTAAAACTTTTTTCCCTGTTAGTTTACGTCAACAAATAAATTGTCATATATATATATATATAGGGGCAAGTAAGCCAGCAACATCTTCCTCATGCCCCACAGAAGATAAGAACTTGACACCTAACGGTGTACTCTCAAGCTGTCATGTTTGAGCGTAGAAAATTCCACGAGAAAGGAAGAGGGAAAAGGCAACCTCAAGAATTAATATTTAAGAAAAAGATTACGTGCACGAACATGCTTTGTATCCTTTCGCAGTTATCACTCGTGTCATGGGCCATGGAGGCCTAACTTTTTCTGCTTAACATCAACGATGTATAGGCTAGCTTTGTATGGAGTAGAGTCTTTTGCTTCTGCATAAGCCTAATTCCTTGCTTTCACTCTTTGAATCGCTACAGCTATAGCACACTTTACTTGACCCATCTTTCTCACAAGTCATGTTCAATTTCTTAGACACCTTTCAAAAGCCAATATTAATTCGCTTGCTACCAACGGCGCCACGTGCTGGGCCCAATTATTTTCTAGTCATCGCTCATGAATTCCCCAAAAAAAAAAAAAAAAAACTGGAATAGTTTACAAAGTGGATTTAAAATAAACAATCACCGACAGTGGTCACCCACATCATCCAACTCTATCATTCAGACCATGCTTGTCTGATCAACCAGTTTTATATCTATTCATTATCATAAAAATTATTCTCCAGGACAAAATATTATTCTTAATTATTTACTGACGGGTGCGTCCTTTCATTAACCAATTGTATTGCAATCCGTATGCTGAACGTTAACAATTACTTAAAATATGACGAGGTGAATTTTAATATTAGAGTTTTAGTCCCTGCTATTTTGTCCTGAGGCGATAAAAGGCAATAGGAGTTTGAACTAATCTTTTGTCTTGGTTCATAAATTGAAGTTCAACTTATTATTAATTTTTAGCTAACCAAAATGTCATCAAGTGTCATTTAATGTTATAGCTCTTGGTGACATAATCTCGTGGCTTGCTCATCAGTGGCTGCTCAGTTTTCTTAATATAGGAGTAATGCATGATGATTCGTTGAAGAGAATAACAATAATTAAAAGAAGATTCCCAAGGCCAAGAAAATGAGTGTCGTGAAATATGCGGCAATGACCAGTGCCTCAACAGTCAAACTAACATTTCTCCGTGACTTCAAGATGAAGAGATGATTTCTCATACGGACACATATATAGCCCCCCTCCAACTTAAATTTTGAAGGACAGAGTTTAGGTAGGCTGTGCCAAGTTTTGCCAGAAATTAACCAAAAAAAAATCATTGAGCCTGGGAATTTTTCACAGAAACTAGAATTCAATGCGCTCAATTATGTCTCGAGAAAAGAAGTTTCATCTCCATTTTTTTCAAGCGTGTTTAAGCGCAGCGGTTATATCTGGAGCCCAATACCTGATAGAAACGTCATTTTTACGAGGAGGCTCAGACAACCAAACTGGAAAGTGCGGCATTTTCTTGTGGTAGCTAGTGTTGGGGAAGGCCAAAGGAAGTAACCTTAACGTGCATACCACTCTAGATTCTTCTTGTGCTCAATTTTAGCAGCGTCTCTCTCTCTCTCTTTCTGTGTGGATGTTTAGAACTCTTTTCTTAACCCTTTGGTCCACACTTTCTGGTGTGTTGGGTTCTAGGCAGGCCCTCCCGAATCCTAAACGCGCAGCATTTGGAGGTTTTATCAGATCACCGCACGTGAATAAATGATCGAGAGTCTTTGAGACCAAGTCTGCCATTGACATAGCCAACCTCAATAGTGTCCCTTTCGATGCCCACCATTCTCCTATTATTATTATCATTATTCAGAGAATTAAAGCTCACTTTTTTGCTGTTAAAAAACTAAAAAGTTCAAAAGATTCCGGTACAACTGGCTCGTGAGGCGTAACCACAACAACTTGATAGGCTCATAGCTCAATATATACCCCCTCATACTTTTCCGCTTAAGCATATCATTCATTCACTCCCAACTTGCAACCAAAGCCCTCATCTTCTTCCCCCTCCTCTTCCCTTCCACTCCATAAATTGCAAAATATGGGTCCATGTCGTCTCATACTTATGTTGTCACTCTCATTGAGTCTCTGCCTGTTTCCATATTCCACTTATGCGCAACTGAGCAAAAACCACTATGCCAAAACCTGTCCCAATCTCGAAAGCATCGTGAGAACAGCTGTAAGGAACAAGTTTCAGCAGACATTTGTTACAGTCCCCGCAACCCTTCGTCTCTTCTTCCACGATTGCTTTGTCCAGGTAATCACTTAATATGAATCAGCAGCAGCAATTTAATTTCTACCGTGGATTTGCTATAACGATGCTAGAAAGACTTAAATACAAGTTCCTTTCACCCATAATGCTGAATTGGAATTGGAATTCCATGCATTGCAGGGTTGTGATGCTTCCGTATTGATAGCATCGACAGGGAACAACAAAGCAGAGAAGGATCACCCCGACAATCTGTCATTGGCGGGTGATGGGTTTGACACAGTGATCAAAGCAAAAGCAGCAGTGGATGCCGTCCCTCAGTGCAGAAACAAAGTCTCTTGTGCTGATATTCTGGCCTTGGCTACTCGTGAAGTTGTCTCACTGGTGGGTGTCGGTCCAGCTCGATCATCTTGTGCTCAGAGAGTTAATTAAGTAAAGATTCATGGATTAATGAATCTGTATTTGTGACGCATGTGCAGGCTGGAGGACCATTCTATGAAGTTGAATTGGGAAGATTTGACGGGCTCGTCTCTAGAGCTTCCGATGTGGACGGCAGGCTGCCTCAGCCCAACTTCAATTTGAACCAGCTCAATTCACTCTTTGCCTCTCGCGGCCTCACCCAAACCGACATGGTTGCCCTCTCAGGTTTTATAACCCCTCCATTTCTACAAAAGTTTGATTTTTTTTTTTTAAGTATAAGTTTGAAATTTTGAATGCAATACCGTTGGACGGATGGAGGAAGTAAATCCTAAAATATCAGAGGAAAGTGAGGGTTGAAGCTTTTGAGGTGCACGCACATGCAAAGGCAGGTTAATCTGTGTCGGTTTTAATTTGGCTAGAAATTGATAATCTAAAGAACAAGGTGGTAATTCATTTGCAGGAGCACACACCCTGGATTCTCGCATTGCAGCCGTTCTCCAATAGAATATACAACTTCAGGCCAGGAAACCCAGTGGACCCTACGTTGAACGGACTGTATGCAAGCCAGCTCCAAGGGATGTGTCCGAGGAACGTCGATCCAAGGATAGCCATCAACATGGACCCCACCACCCCTAGAACGTTTGACAATGTCTATTACCAGAATCTCCAGCAAGGTAAAGGCCTCTTCACCTCCGACCAAATCCTCTTCTCCGACCCGAGGTCCAGGTCTACTGTCAATGCTTTTGCCTCTAATAAGAACGTCTTCAACGCCAATTTCGTCACCGCCATCACCAAGTTGGGTCGCGTGGGTGTCAAAACTGCCAGCAATGGCAAAATTCGTACCGATTGTTCTGTGCTCTGATTCCCAGAAACTGGGACAGGGTTTCACGTGGGAGCGTCACTTGAGAACGACGATGCAACGGGAAACACATTTGTTGTTAATAAAACTTGTTCAATAATAACAATAAGTTAAGGGAATGGACGAATCGCTTTAACGTTTATGTGCAATTTTTATGCTTGACTTTGAGGAAATGGATGAATCGTTCGTTGTACATACATGTGGAGCCAATTTGAAAGCTCGTCGTCACCTTTAGACTCTCCTAATATAATTTTCGTGATCTAGGTTTCTAATTTTTCAATTAGTATTTTTTAAATAAAAATTATTTTTTAAAAAATTGACAATTAAAATATTGTCTTTATTTTAGATTCTGTATCTATTAAAAAATTTTTTTAAAAAATAAAAATAAAAAATTATAAAAAATCATTCAATAAATTTAAATATTTAAAAATAATGAGATTTTCAATGCTCATATGTACGATCAGCACTAAAACCGATTCCTTGCACATCTAGATTTTTTATGTTTGATGTAGGTTTTTACTGACAAATGCGGAAAACAAGAAATTTCTTTACTGGCATGATTCCCCTGCATTTCAATTTTTTTTTGTCTAATTTTATGTAAAACATTTCCTTCAATTGCTGGCTCAAGACCAATAAGTCCAACGGCATAAAAAACGGAGCATACACGTCTTTAGCTCGAAATCCCCTTCCTCTCTTGATCTACTTTTATGGCTCTGTTATAATAAAATAAAATGCAAACCATAAAAAGCGTTTGTCTAAATAATTTCAGATATTATATGAGAACAGCTTGAAATGCACGTTATCATATGAAGCAATTATTTAGGCAATCAATGAAATGTTTGTATGTCGGAAACCCCCCCCCCCCAAAAAAAAAGGGAAAACTAGGTTGGCAAGCTTTCCTTGACAGTGATGCCGTTCCCTTTTGTATTGCATGACACTATAAGGATGCAAATTATGTAAATCATCAAACAAATCAATCAAGTAAGATTTATTTAAGTTTGATCGAAGCGGGTAGTTAATTAGCTGGGAACGACAGTACAATACTTTTTTTTTTATATATATAAAAAATAGTACAACACTCCTCTCATAGTTGAAAGTGGCAAGCAGCATTTGGCCTATAATATAAGGGGCCAAAATGAAAATTGAAATACAAAAGTAAGCTGAGAACACTTATAGTGTGGTTATATGCATCTTCTACCAATTCTTTACACCCTGTTGCAGCTTAGAAGGAAAAGCCATCTATTTAAGACCAGACCCTAAATAAACTCCATAGTCAATCTTGAGCAAGAACATGAATAGAAGGCAACAAACTTTAAACCCAGCTTTTCTCAGATGGGGGGGAAAAAAAAGGAATCCCATTTGCTTTCCAGGTTACCATCTAGATGCAGCATGGTTCTTGTCACTCATCTCATCTTACACCTGTGAACATGATAAAACTTAAATTGACCTTCAACATTCTCAGTTGACCAAAAAATGAAGTTACATCAGCATGACCATAAACTTTTTATTGTCGCTTGGCGATTGCTTTAAATACCAAAAATTACATCCCCCACCTGCATTATTTGAAATTTAATGATCATGCGTAACTGTTCACATCATTCCCCCGCACCAAAATCAACCAATAAAATGCAATGAATGAGGCTTCATGTTGGAATCTAATATGATCTTAAACCCCCCCCCCCGGGGGGCGGGGCGGCCAACTATAATATCATTCTTATTACAAGAAGGGGCGAACTATAAACGCTTCGACATAGGAGTAATATTTTTACAGCAGATACATGTTTCCATTAAATGTTCGCCGAATGTCAACAGATTCGTAGAGCATCCACCTCAGCAGAACTTTCCACCTCAGCTGTCATGTAATGTGCTCTGCTGTCTAGCTGGAAATAGATGATTCTAGCAGTGTAATTTGTTTAAAATTTCCTATTTTATTTACCTTAAACGCATCAATGTGACCGTTTTCATCTCTATAAATATAAAGCTTGTAATCTGTAATAATTGAATAAAGGAAATGTTCAGCTGCTTTTCTCTACTCTGATAAGATTTAAAACTTTCTGAGCCATGTGGTAACGCAAGACTGGAAACTAATTGCTTGTTATCTAAAATCAAAGCATTTAAAAGGGAATTAAAATCTTTCACGTCACCCAAAAAAAAAAAAAAAAAAAATCTCAGGCTTGTAAAGTTAAATTCAGACCCTAAGAGAAAGACTCGCCAATATCACCAACTGGAGATCAAATTGCAGGAGAGAACTGTTCCATACACACAGCCATCATCACTATTTTCATCAGCAACTGTGAGTAAATTACATACCTAAACGTCTATTTATATTACCATTCGAGGAGAATTTGTTGATATGGACATTTTCGTCTTGTTTTCCCTTTCTCTGCATTGAACAATCAGCTGACAAAGACCAGGAGTTTAGCGGTCAAACATGACCACTTTCCATGCAATGAAAATATGCTAAAGAGCACAGCTCCATGCTGGATACTAATTCTGAAGAGAACTTCATATAAGCAGACAGATATAATCCAACACCCCCGCCCCCTCAAACCATGGGACATCCCACCATAAAATGAAACAATGACCCTATAACACTCGAGGCTGATAAACAGAACTTTGGTTCTGACTTCTGAAATAAGCTTCGTTAATAATGGATAAAAAATGAACAAATAATCAAAAGGTGTCAATCAAAGAGATCTCTTCCTGTTCTGTAAGAAGGATTCTTACAAGTGTTAAGCTAAAATAGTCAGCCGTGAAATCTGTACAGAAAATATTTTTCCATTCTATGCAATCTGTTTTCTGCTCACTCTTCTGATTCTCGCAAGAAAACCTTCTCAAAATGTAGTGGCCAATCTTCTCCAAGTATAACAGGATTCAACTCTATTGCTGTCCGAAAATCAGAAATAGATGCAGAAACAGTCTCGCTTGGCTTTTGCACATATCTATTATTTGACGACCCACTCAGACCATGTTGGATTTGACCACCAATTTTGTCAACTGATTTTGAAACAGCTAAGTCCAAACAGGGTTTTATCAATCTTTTGAGGTAAACATCAACAGCATTATTCAATAAGTTGGCAGAATCCACACAGATTTTAACTCCCTCCATTTCCAACTTATGCTCCAACCTTTTCACCAAGGAACTGGTATCAGGCAGTTGACCGCTGTCTTGACAGGTGCTAGTGGCCGAAGAACATGCTAATACATTAAAGGAAACTTTTCGAACTCCTTTTCTGTTTGTGGGAATTCCAAGAGGAGCTGTAATCAGACTCCTGCTATAATCGAGTGGGCTTCCAGAGTCTTGATTAACCTCCTCCCCATCATCTGCTGAGAGAGGGGGCATGCTCCCTACAGAATATAGATCGGCAGTACCTTGCTGCTCATGAATTTTAAGGACAGAATCTTCACATACAATGCTATGGTTCTTCCCTTGGGGACCATGAGGGCTCGAACGATCCTTGAATCTGCGGTCACGTAAATTTGGCGTCCTCATTTTTCGAGGAGATTGGAGTAAGTCTCTGCATAGTGACTGAAGATCACTCTTTTGATTCCCATTTGGAATTTTAACACTCAGTGAACATTCTACTCTGCCATTTCTACTTGTGGGTAACTTGGCAAGGCATGCCTTTTTAATGATTGACCTGATCAGCTGGTTATGGAGACGGACATTGTCTCTCCCAATAATTGCTATGCAGAGCTTATTAAATTTGAGCTTGCTAATCTTGAAAGAAAGAAATCTTGTGAGAAGATTAAAATACTCGCATGCTTTCACACTTCCAAGCCTTCTTTCAATCTGCAATTTCTGCTCTAGCGTATCCACTGTAGTAAAACACTGTGCTGCTGTCATCCTGCGGCCAGAAATTGTCTATATGATCAGAATTAAAGCATCATCAGATAAGAGAGAATTATTGAACCCCATATAGGATCTAGTTAACTTTTCAAAACTCGATCCCAAACTCAAAGCCCTAATGTATGTTCAAAGCGCATTAATTCCAGCAACGGCACTCAGCTATGCCAGCTGACATCCACCGAAACACTAAATTTTGACGAAGAAGGGCAGAGCAAAAACATGGGTATCGGCGAGGCTAAAGAAAAAGGATTGGCGTGCCATATTTCCAGTGACCATCATCTAACCACATAATTCTTGGGATCACAGATTAAAGTGGACGAAGACCTATCTCGGAGAACTGCACTACTTGGACAGTACGCTAGTTTAACTGACAGAATAAAAGCGAGCAGTATTTCGCATCAAAATAGGGTTTAATACTTCAAATCGTTAATTCGAGAAGTAGAATCCCCCGCAGCAAGACTGATCAAAAAAAGGAAACCACGAAACGGAATTCAGACATTGAGATAAAAATAGAAAGCGAGGCGAAGAACTGAGCGAGAAACCTGAATAAGTGAATTGGGTTTGGAACTTGGTTCCAAATTACAATTGTCGCTGCAATTCTTCGATCACTGCACTACTTGCCCGCTTGAAAAGCGCGAGAAAGGAAGAAAGATTAGGGCTTGTAAGCAGAGCGCCACCTTTCCGAAGCTTCTTCGGTCGGAAGGGTCAAAGGCACGTGCGTTTTTGAAGGAGTAATGTAAGATGGTAACGAGAAGGATTGGTGTGCTAATCATAATAAAGAGCTTCAGCTTCAGCTTATGGCCTCTGAATTCACACGTACTTAAGCCCCCAGTTTGGATTTGGGCCAGCAAGCCGTCATATTTTAACTCAAAGTCAAACAAAAGTCAAAGTCTCAGCTCAGGAATACGAATATTAGTATGGAACCGAAAGAAAGATATAATGTCAGCATTCAGCATAGCTTTGAATGGTCGAGTCTTGTTTCGGGTTTTCGTGTTCGATTATGAAAGTCCGACCCGGCCTACACGTGGCGCTCAAGCCCAGTCCCTTTTCTTTTTTTAAGAAAAAGTACAAACAGTATGCATAAAGCTTGAAAGGACTAGCCTAATACTTTAAGGTCGTGTTTAATAAGAAGGAATGAGAGGGTGAAATTGAAATTAGCATTAGATAATCTTATCTTTTTATATTTGGTATGAAAAAAATGAAAAATTTAATCTCAATATCAATCTCATCTAAGTAGGATTACTTAATACCACTACCTCTCATGGTATTAAAAAATCAATTCTATGATTGATTTTTTTAAACTAAATTACCCCTATCGTCTCCTTTCCTCCGCCCTCTCCTCCTTCATCTCCATCTTGTCTCTCCTCCTTTGCCCTCCTTTTAGACGAAGTAATGTCAATGTCTCCTTTGTCGTTACCAGCCTCTCATCCATTGATGTCATTGCTAGATTTGTAGAGAGAAGGAGGAGATCGAAGATGAGAGAAGGAGGAGAATGACCAACTATGTTCTTTGCATAATCGGTTTGAACCCGAGCTGCGGTCACCTAATCTCACTACTGTTGTTGACTTTGCCATCATCTACATCCTCACCGTTCTCATTTATTAGTTCAAACCAAAAGGAAGAGAGAGAGATGAGAGGAGAGGGCAGCGATGAGGTTCTCTTATGTGGCCATAGATGTTCTTTTTGGGGGAGAAGAGCAACAAGATTGGAAGAAGATGATGCGGATAACCAGTGGAAGTAACTTTTCTTCTGCAACCATAGATGTTCTATTTTGGGGGAGAAGAGTGTTCAAATGATAAAGACAAAAAACCCAATTTATGTTTTGAGGGGTAATATAGTATTTTTATATTTTTGTTTAACTATAAAATAAACTAAAAGTAAGTATTCCCTCTTAATATTACTTCATGCCAAACATAATTTTAAAACTTCAATCCCACTTCTATTCCCCCTCTCACTCTCACTCCCAATCTCAATCTTTCTAAATTAAGATTTGCATACCAAATGAGGCTGAGGTTTAACTGTGACCAGGAGTCATACTGAGCCCATTTGCCAATTAGTTTTCTTGCAAGTCAATAGCTTGTGGCCATTGGCCAACTTGTTGTACCAAGCCAATTTGCCAAATCATTTTAACTATTAGTTGGAAGTGATGGATAATTGTTAAGCATATATAATTTTATAAATTTTTATTTTTAATTTAATTATATTTTTTATTAATATAATTTTTTTCATATTTTTTATTTTTTAACTTTTAAGTTAGGCTAAAACCTGGCCCAAACTTTCAAGTGGCACAATGCTTTTTTTTTTGTAATAAAGAGGGCATAATGCCCAGAGGTTTAAAATAAATTACAAAGGAGGGGAATCACATCCTAAAACATCAGAGGACATTAAACTCCTAACAAAAGTAAGAGCAACTTTAAAAAGAGAAGAATAAGCTAAACCTTTCTTCACAAGCTTGTCAGCTACATGATTAATATCTTTTGAAACATATTGCAATTTAATCTGCCAGTTCTAATTTAGCATATCAAGAATCTCTACAGATACCATGTTGCCCAAAGAATGACAAATTCTCTTTTTAGCCAAATTGTCTTGGAGATTCTTGCAATCAAATTCTATAATGACAGGTCTAAAACCAAAATTTGATACAAAACGGAGACCTTTCTAAATTGCCTATTCCTCATATTCATAAGCACCACAAAGCCCAATATGATGACAATATCCCATTATCCAATGCCCAGTATTGTCTCTTAGTGCTTCATCGTACCCTGATATACCACTTGAGGTAGACATAACCCTATCCACATTAAACTTAACCCAACTATATGGCAAAAAGGTCCAAGAAGGGCCCTGATTTAAAGGTTTAGAGCAACTTTCATCAGTCAAATTATTATTGTTAATATAATTTCTCCAAGTAGCTAAAATCATAGTCAAAGGGTTAACAGGCTTTTAAAAATTAGCTTCAAAACTATGACTACATCTCCACTTCCAAAGCTTCTATATAATAATTCCCCACAATAAATTCCAGTTACAAGCACTAAAAACACTAAAACTCTGTTTCAGATTAGAATTGATCCACTCTTTCAATGATAAGGAGTAAAAAAGTGAGTAATACCTCCTTTTGACCAGTCATCTCCATAAGTTCCTAGCATAAGGACAATCACGAACTATATGGATAATAGACTCCACATCCTTATTGCACCAGCTACAGATAGGTTGATTATGAGCCCACATACTTCTCCATTCATTAGTAGGCAATCTCTCATGATACAACTGCTACAAGAAGAACCTAATCCTTTATGCACCATTCCACTTCTAAATAGCCTTAAAAGTAGTATTATAAAGGGCAAAGGTTTTTTTCCAGTAAATAATAAGCACACTTAACAGTGAAGAGTCCATTAGCATTCCCATTCCATGTCATAATGTCATTTCTTATAGAATCTCGTGGAGGCAAAATTGCTATCAAACGTTGCATTACCTCTACTGATACTATTAAGGATAATCTGACATAATCCCATAAGCTAAAGACAACCCAATCACAAACTTTACTAGCTAACTCCTTTATTGTTAAGGGTCTCAAACAAAAAACTTTGAGGCTTTTATCTGGAAATAGCCAAAAATCATAAAAAAAAAACATAAATTTACTATTTCACACTTGCCATTTATTTCCTTCTTTAAGAATTTCATCTTGCTCACAAATAAATTTCCATACTGAAGAGTTCCAGCTTTTGCAGTCAATAAGTTTTTTGTGTTTCTCAACATATACTTATTCTGTATAATATTAGCCCAAAGCTTATTTGTGCCACTAAGAAGGTTCCAAGCTAATTTTGCTCCAAAATACTTGTTTACTGATGTTAATCTCTTGAAACCCAAGCCTCCATACATTTTAAGAAGTGTTAATGTACCCCGACAAATAGGATGATAGGCATGTAAATGATCTTGACCCCATATAAAATTCCTTTGAAGTTTTTCAATTTCTTTGCAAGTGTCAATTGGCAATCTTGTCACTTGCATAGGATAGATAGGGATTGAGCTGAGCACAGACTTCACTAAAATTGCCCTATCCACTGTTAAAAGACAATTAGCCTTCTATCCCACAAGTTTGGACTTAACTTTATCCATTACATAGAGAAATTTTTTCGTCTACTTCTTGTTCCTAGTAAGTGGAAAGCCCAAATACATACCAATGTCTGTAGTAATTTTCATCTCAAAGATAAGTTTGATTTTCCTTTTCAAATTCGGATCCACATTAGGAGAAAAGAATAAAGTTGACTTACTCTTATTGACTCTTGCACCAGATGCCCTTGAGAAACTTGCTAAGCAATTCATCATAGCCTGTGTTTGTCTCTCTGAGGCTTCTCCAAATAATAATAAGTCGTCAGTAAATATTAAATGTAAAATGGTAAGGCCTTCTGTCGTCACATGAATCGGATTCTAGCTTCTTTCTTCCATTGCATCACTTATTAAGCCATTAGGCCAAACATCATGTTTGTTAAAAAAAAAATATGTTTTTTAAAAAATGGGCCTGATTGTGTGGACAAGGCATGAATTTTTGGATTTCATTAAAAAAATCTTGAGGCGTGAGCCTTTGGGATTGCAATCCTGCTTTAGTAAATTTATTTTCATAGGTCTACCCATCTAAAATCATGCATAATTTAAATATCTAGTGAGGAATAAAACTTTTTCTTCGATCTTGATCAATAATCATGTAAGATTAAGATTTAACTTGAGTCCAATAAAGGGAGTTAGCCCTTCTCAGTATAATGAGTCAATATTTGAATTTCTATTATGAAAAGTATTCAACTACTTGTATTTAATGTTCAACAGTATTTCAAACATAATTATCTTTAGTAAAAAAATACTTGTGGCAAAAAAAATTATTGATTTAGCTTTGCTTTTGAATTTCTATGTATAAAAAATAATATCAAAATTAAAAGTTAAAAGTCCGGTGGTCTAGCCAGCTACTTGCTTGTTTTGTGACCAAGAGGCCAAAGAAAAACTTGTATGAACTCGATACACTATATCATTCATATTTTGTCCAAGAAGAACCTATAATGTTGCACTAGTCTAGTTAAATAAAATCTAATGTGTTATTATTTTTAATAACTTTATTTTTAAAATAGACTATCTCATTAATTTATTGTATTTTCTCTTTCTATTATCATCAATATTATAATCAATTTATATTTACTGTTATGTAACATCACACGTTTTTATTAGATAAAATATACTCCCTCCATTTCAAATTATAGGAAACTTTTGAAGGAGTTTTTCCGTCTCAAAATATAAGAAATTTTAAATAAATTAAGGTTTCATTAAATACATCAATTCTTATATTACCCATTCTTTCTCTATAATTAATGTTTGTCTCTTCTCTTTTCAATATATTAAATGATAGGTATTTTTAAAATTTTATATTTTTATTTGGAAAAGATAAGGTTGTTAAGTATATTTAATGAGGTTTATTGATATGTAAGATTTTGTCTAAAAGTGTCTTATAATTTGAGACGGAGAAAGTATATGATATAATCTACTAAGTTTATATAAGAATTTCTCATTATATTGATAAAGTGAATTAATTGATATATACACATCACACGTCAATTAACGCACAACAATTCAGCTCTACTCAGTGATCCTGGAGAAACACTGAATTGCGTTAGTGCCTGTACATAGATAGAACAAAATCTGTTGCATTCACATATACATGAAAGGATGGCATAAGTGGATTTGGATTCTATGACTATAGATATTGGATGTCTGTATCATCTAAA